GACGTCATTCAAGGTCGTGTGACGTCTCAAGGTCAAAAGGGGTGGGGGGAAGCGTTCAGTCGGCATTAGCACCCTACTTTTGGCCCTTCTACGCTTTCGTAGTTTTAATATTTGATAAACGGGTTATTTGGGCTACTTTATTTATTGTTACACAGAACCCACGACAGAAAGTTCCGTACACCACAGTAGCGACGAGGTGTATAATAATAAACTGAACGGAATCACATGATAGGTTAAACAGAAACTCATTGAACAAGACGTCTGTTTACACATAAAATGGCGATGTCGTATATAGGCTGTTTAACCTTTCAGTAGTCGCGCGATTTTTTGTAACAAGTTTATTCGCGCAGTGTCTCTGAGACCGGGGTCCGTAATTTTTTTTTCAACAATTAATCCCAACAAAGCACGAATTTCAGTGACATCAGTTTCATTTGCATCTCTTTCCCTCGTATATTTAGTTTTTATTTTTTCTATAAAAAGGTTAATGCACATAACAGTTTCCGAAAGAATTTCTTCAGTGAAAAAGTGGTTCCACATTTCTGAGGGTCGCTTTAAAAGCCTTGTTGATTGTGTGGGGCCAGGTAGACGTTTTATAATATTTTCTTGTCGTGTTCTAATTGCTGTCCTTGGAGGTTTATGCTTTTTCCAATAAGTGTTGTCTTTAGCTGTAACAAAAAGTACCAAACGTAAGATAAAAAAAATATAGTTAATTTTTGTTACCTATAAAAGATGGACCTGTCATCTGGTAGTTATCATTATTTTCATCAGCATTGTCAATATCTTGTTCGGAGTCACTACTATGTTCAGTGACTTCCTCGTGATCGGATTCATCTATGTCAGATTCATCGAATGGGACTTCAGCATCATTAGTTTCCAAATCCTCTGATAATGTTTCCTCCAATAACCGTTGCAAACGTTCCTGTTCTTTTTCATAAGAGGCCATGGCTAGAAAAGTGAAACAATGAAATAAATAACAAAAAAATAAAGATTTCAGTTACTTACTTCACCCGTAAAAATTGTCACGCGAGTGGTCGCGCCGGACTGGGACACCGGTTTAATTTTTGTAGTCCGATACACAAACTCCACAACGATCAAACTTATACTGTTGATTCGTTCCTTCCGTCGCTACAGCTACTGCGAAAGATGCGCCGGTTCTCCCACCATCTCCCTCGAATTGCTCAAATAGCTCAAAACCCGGTCTCGTAGACAGGTACGCGACTACTGGAAGGTTAAGGGTTTTTAATCCAAGTGAATGTGATTGGAGAATCTATAAAGGACAATTAGAGCAATATTTTTCAATAAACGGAATAATAAAGGAAGAAAGACAACGTAGGCTATTGTTAAATATTTGCAACGAAACGGCATATCAGCTAATAAATAGTTTATGTTTTCCGAACAAACCGTCAGAGAAACCATTCAAAGAATTGATAGCGCTATTTGACAAGTATTTCACACCAGCTAAGTTAGTTTTTCCAGATCGAGAAATATTTTATTACGCTTCGAAAAATAAAGATAAAACGGTACCAGAATGGGCAGTCCGAATAAGACAGCAGGAAAATGCGACTTCAAAGATGAACTCTCAGTTGTAATGCGAGATTCACAGGGGACAGGCTTTTTGAAGAAAAAAGGGAAAATTTCACATTCGAGAAAGCCATCGAAATAGCTTTGGTGCAGTCAAAGAAGTCAAAAGGTAGTCATTAAAAGTGAAGCCCGCCCAGAGCAGGAAGTTTATCACTTAGGGAGTAGGAAGTATTCAGGTTCAACAGGAGAAAGGAGGTTGGAAAGCAGTAGCCGTCCTCCGCAGCGAGGTAGGAGCAACTTCAGCAAGACGTCCGTCCCGACGGCAGCAGGAACAGAAAGAAGTGTGTGGTAAAGTACATCCACCACCATGCAGGTACAGAAATTGTACAGAAATTGTACATATATTGCAGTAAAATGTCCTAAGTTTAAAAGTAGTTCTATATCTGGATTTAGAAATAATAGAAATAATTATTTAGAATCATCTGATGAAGTTTTTGATTTATACAATCTCAATCAGAATTTGAAAAATTTTCAACCCATTATGGTAGATGTTATTATTAATGATATTTATTTTGAATATGAGTTAGATACTGGCGCCTCTGTGTCGGTGATTTCAAAAGAATTCAAAAATGCTCATTTTTTCAATATTCCATCAGAAAACACTCAGAAAGTATCAAGATCTTATGATGGAAAAATTATTAACCCTTTGGGAAAAATACTTGTATATATTATCTATAAAAACAAGAGTCAGAACTATTCTCCTGAAAAACTGTTTTAATAGTAGGTACTCAGGATTATTTAAGTACTTCAATTAAGCCGATTTAGATCTGATTTTATTTCATCTGATATGTGAAGCTCATGTTAATACATAATATTTGTTTTTTGACTGATTATTGTAATGTTCAAAATTATCTTTCATTTTATTCACAATTTATGATTCAATATTTTTAACTTGTGACTAGTTTTTTTTTCTATGTATATTTTAAATGACTTGCAACAAACATTCAAGTGTAAAGTTGTCAAATAAATATATCTATCTATCTATCTAT